CATAAATGATAAAAAAATAGAGGATGAAAATAATAATAAAAATAACAATCCTATTGTAAGCAGAGAGAGAGAGAGAGAGAGAGAGAGAGCAAAAAAAACCCTTCTTCCTCTCAAAATAACAATAATAATCTTATAATCATGGTGGAAAATCGTTTAAGGAAGTATTTGCAAGGCCGACTTTTCTTTGAAAAAAATCATAGTGGTGTCGGTTTATTTAAAAATAGTTTCAAAAAAAGTAAAAAAGATGCTATTGAAGTTATTAGGAAAGAAATTAATGAGCATAGTAAGAAAACGGTAATTGATGAAATAGTCAAAAAACATTTCTCTGATTGAGAGAATCAAATAACAAACAATTTTTTTCTTAGCCCTTATCCTGGAGTTAAAGATAGAGAAAAATTGGATAAATTGGCCGATTATGGTAATAAAATCCTGGCTTTAATTTTTGTTGAAGATAAATTATTGGCAGCCGAAGAACTACTGAAAAAGTCTGGGGTAGATAATGAAGAATATCAAGAACTTATTAGCTCTTGTAATGAAATTATTACTGTTTCTGAAAGTGGGGATGAGTATGCAAAGGAAATTTTGAGTTTAGAAAAAGATGGTAAAAAGTACAGCAAATTAATAACTGATGCCATTAGTGAGTTAGAAAAAAAAATAGGAGGTCGGCAGGAAGAGAGCGAAGAAAATTTAGGTGCTGGTGGTAGTAGTTCTAGTAGTAACGGTGGTTCGGTTGATGATTCTGACCCAGATTGATTAGAGTTAAGTAAGTTAAAAAAAGAAGCCGAAGAACTTTGTCAAAAAATAATTGCTGAAACAGAATTTAAAGAAGAAGTAGTAGGAAAATGATTTCAAGAAATTGAAGAAATAAAAAATAATAAGGCTAATGAAGTTGTAGAAAAGTTAAAAAATGATGGTAAGGTAGAAGATTATAGCGAAGTAAGAAAAATAAGCCAAATTTTTGCTAACAATCAACAATTCCAAGATAAAATAAATTTTTTTCTTCCCCTAGCCGAAGATTATTACATTAAAAAGGTGGAGGATTTGGGAAGAACTGACGAAGAAATTAACAACTCCGATTTTATTAAAAGTTATCATACTGATTGAAAGGCTGACATCCGCGAACGAGGAGATATTGTTAATATTATGAATCATGTTAATGGTGACCTTATTCCTGCCATAAACAAACTTTCTGAGGCTGATAACTTAGTTAAAGCAATCGAAATTCCTCTGGATATTATTACTGGAAGAGGAGACGCCGGCATAATCATCAATAATGGTCAGGAAGAAAGCTTGTTTGTGGAGGGCAAAATGGCTAATCCAATAACGTTGACAATTACAGGAATTGACCAAATATGAATTAGAGGTGATAGGCATTTTGCTAGTTATAATATTGAACCAGTAACGATATCTCTGACGAATGGTAATGACATAGTTATTAACAGAGTCCTCCTCAACTACCGCCGTGACAACTTTGACCCCTATGCTTGCAGAAACGAGGAAGAAAAAGACCTTGCGCTTCGGGCTGAAATTCCGGGTTTTGTTGACGAGAATGATATTGATAATGACCGAATGATTGGTGAAAGCAAAATTGTTCAAATTGGTAACACTATTTCAATACAGTTAGCCACTGATAACAAAAAAATAAATAGAAATGGCTTTCAGGAGTGAAAAAGTTGAAGTCTGTTAGGCAGCGCTAGTTATGAATTAGGAGTCTATGATGATTATACTTTAACCGCCGCTGACGGTCAAAAATTTTATTTCTCTGAACGTAGTTTATCGGCTCTTCTTTCGGAGGCCAGATGTCTGTCCCGTACTTCTCACGGCGGCCACACAAACCCCGAAGTTTTTAGGTACATAGTTAATGATATAAAAGAACATCCAGAGTTCTGTAAATTAGCCATGGAAGAACAAGAAAAAATTGATAATGAACTGCAAACTTTGCTTTCGTTGATAATTGCTAAAGAGCATAAGAAAAATTTGTCGAGGTTATTCTCTGATGATGAAGAACGAAGAAAATGAAAGGAATATTTAACTCAGTTGAAGGAAGCCGAGGAAACAGGCTGATTGCAAAATGATGAAGATGCCGTTAAGCACTTGGAAAAATTAGCCAAAAATAATTACCAACCCAGCGATGGTGACAAAATTGAATTTTTGCAAACTAACGAAGGGGAAGAAACTAAAGTAAATTCCTTTTATTGTCCGGAACCAGAAGCGGAAAAATTTTCTGCCTTCCTCTGACCCAAAGAAAAAGTAAATAATTATTGACCTTTGAAAAGGGATTATCTTAATGAAATAGGGGAAAATGACCGTTGAAATCGAAAAATCAATGAAGCGATTGGAGAAGGAGAAGGGACAATCACTCAACGAATAGAAGAATTTATTAGAAGTTCCAGTAGTGAAGAAAATTTGACAGAAAATATCAAAAAAGTTAAAAGCCTTGCCCAGCGAGAGTTAGCTTGCTTAAAAGGGTGATCAGACGACATAATAACTCCGGAAGGGCGGGAAGAAATTTTTTACAGTTCAGAATTAGTAATTTCCCAATTAGAGGAATGCCGACAATTATTAACTGACATTCAAACTATTCTAACGAAAAATGAAGACAATATTGCCGAGTTTTTAACCAGTGAGGAAAAAGAAAGGATCAAAATCTCTCTCAATAACGCTCCCCAGATTTTAAAAGAAATTATTAATGATAATGGCCGACTATTTGATAAGGCTTGTTTAGTAAATGAATATCTTGAATACTATGACATTGATAATTTAAAAGTTGGTGAATTAGCAACTGCCCGCCAGTTTTACAAAGAATTTAAAGGTAAGTCAGGTTTAGCACACAATAAGACCGTTTTAGAAAAAATTCATGGGAATGATTGACAAGATAAATTAGCTGGAAAAAGAAATAAAGTCAAATTGGCTTTCGTTTTATCAGATTGAAAAAATAAGGGATATTTTGATAACATAGGCACATTAGAAGAAGAAGTTAAAAATGAAATTAAAAGGTGATGAGGAGAGAGAACAGAAAAATATAATTTTCAAGTATGAAAGTGAGCGGCAGAAAAAGTTGAAGTTAGCGTTGAAAAAATTAGTGAATTAAAGTCGGCGGTGGGATTAAAAAGGAGTTTGGAAGAATTGAATACCGCGGCCATGAAGCCTGATGTTACTTATCAAGAATTAAAGTTAATTTGAGAGGAGTTAGTTAATAACTATCCCGAAGATGCTAAACAGCAATGAGCAGTAAAACATCAGAAAAGACTTGTAGAGTTGGAGTTGGATTGACTATTTGAGCAAGCGATTGCCGAAGGTAAGACAGTAAGGGAATTAGAGAATTATAAAGCGAAAATTGAAGTGTTTAGTAGTTCTTTCTATTCTAAAGCAAACAATTTCTATGCTGAAGTTTGAAAGAAAAAAAATAATGGATATCAAGCTCCTAAGTTTGCTGGTACGTTAGGAGGAAAAGATGGCAAACTAGACAAAGAATTAATAAAATTAACGGAGAAAATAGATAATTTGAAAAGATGGGAACAAGGCGCAGATGTTGGTTTAACTGAGTTGGCGAAAAAAGCCGGCCAAGATATTTGAAAGAAAGATGAATTAATAAAATTTGAACAAGAAATAGCAGAATATCCACCTTACACACAACCGTCGGCTGAGCCAGTTTACTATCGGGGTTTCCGCCGCGTTTATCGAGGAAAAGAAGCTGTTAAAAAAGAGTTAGAGCGAATCAAAAGACTGGCCAAGAAAAACGCAGATGATTATGAAAAAGCTGAGCAAAAAATTAACAGTATTTTAATAAAGGATATCAACAATGGTTATGATAAGATTACGCCTTATATAACTGGTTTCGAAAATGGTAGTGCTCCCGCAACTTTTGGTCTAGATTTGGAGGCAATTGAAGAAGATATTAAAAAGTTAAAAAAAAACATTCCCCAAGACTACGACAGCAGTAACAGGTCATTAAGTGAAGAAAACTTATCACTTGTTCAACAGAAAGTCTTTGCCAATAACAAGGACCTTTCATTGAACCGCTTGTTATGGCTGGAAAAGAAATACTATTTAGAAAAAAATAAAGAAGAGCTTAATGGGGTAGAATTGGCAGCCATTGAAGGGGTAAAAGAAATCAAAAAATGAAAAGATCTGGTGGATTTAATTGATGAATTGAGGAAAAATTTGCCAACTGATAAAGAACAGCGTGGAATTTGGGAAACATTTTTTGATGAGAAGAGGAAATTAAAATTTTTCTGAAAAGATGCAAAATGAAAATTTACTGATTTACAAAAATTAGTTGAAAAAAACTGGGATAAGTATTTTACTACTCCCGAAAGATTGAACAAATTAGGTGCTGGTTTTATCTTAGAATATAATTCGGCAACAGGAAAGAAAATAAAAGTTCAATGTTTGAATGATGATTATTTAACTTTCCAAAGTTGAGACGACTTTTATGGCAAGCATGACATCACTAATGAAAGTGATAAAAATGCTTGAAAAAATGCTTCCCCTGACATTTCAGTCGAAGCGGCGGAGGAGTTATATAATAATGCTTTAACTGCTCTTCCGGATTTTCCGTGAAGCACGGACTTATCAGATGTCGACCAAGAAAAAATTACCCAGGCTAAAAATCCAGGTGATATTATAACTCAGCAAAAAGAAGTAGCCTGAGACCAATTTTTCCGAGTTAACAATATTACGGTCGATAGCGAAAAAAGTGCTTGAAAGAATACTAGTGGTTTAGTGACTATTGTCAAAGCAAAAAAGGTTTTGATTAATGGTTGAAAACTTACTGGTCCGACTGTTGAAAAGGGAAGTTTAGGCAATGGGAAAATGAAGTATATTGGACATAGGTGAATTATTGAGGTTGATTTAACTAATCACCAGCAAGTAGCAGTGGATAAATCTTTAAAATTACTTAGGGAAATAGCCGATGAAACTGATATAAATAAATTGCCAACTGACGAGCAAATTGCTTTTGATGATAATAAAGTTCCGGATGGTATTAAAACAGCTGTTGTTGAAGAAGCAAGAGACGATAAAAAAGTAAAATTATTTGAAAAAAATTTTAACGGTAGTGACAATACTCGCGTATTTTCGGAAGATCAAATTAAGAAATGATTAGATGCTAATGTTGGTTTAGCCAATAACGGAATCGAAGAAAGAAAGGTGTTTGATAATGGTTGAACTGATCCAACTAAGATTTGCAAGAACAATCCTTTTGTTCCCTATCCACATGTTAAATATTCTATTCGGAGAACAAGTAATCTAGAAGAAGAAGAAATTAAGGTTGATGTTAGAAAAGTAAAAAAAGTCACTTTGGATTTAGTTCATGATTTACTAGATGATATTGCTAACAAAACTTCCGCAAATGACTTGCCTGAAAACTATGTTGATTTTGATACGGATATTGACAACTTACCTGAGGATGATACTTTACCAACTAATTACAAAAAATCTGATGTAATAAACGTTTATAATAGGTACCGGCAATGGCTACTAGATAACGAGTTCGTGCAAGGTTTTCTTCAAGCAGGAAATGCGGCTGCCATTTTTGCTAACGATCAAAGTAACCGAAACAGAGTTTTGGATTATCGCAAAAAGACGACTGATTTATTTGCAAATGATTTAGAAATCACCGGCGTCGAAGCCGGAGAAATCTTTAATAATGACTGACAGGCGGAAGAAATTGATATTAGTGGTATCGAGGGAATTACTGCTAGTTATGATGGCAAAGATGATTGGAGACCATTGGTTATTACTAAAAGCCAGGCCGCTGAACAAATGTGAATTGCTAGGTTCAAAAAAAATGATAATCTTTCTCTAACCGATACAGAAATATTAAACAACTATCGAAAAAAGAGTATTGGTTCGGGATTTATGCCTTATCTTCCTCCGGATGTGGCTCGACAAGTTTTTGACCATCATTGAGCGACCGGCCAATTTACCTGTCAGACTACTTCAAGTGGTTGAAAAATAAGGATTACCACTTATGGTTCTCATAACCAATCCAATGATACTAACCTTGACGCTTTAACAGTTGATAAACTAGAGTTGGATAAGGTAAACGAAATATTAGAAAATATAAATAAAGCTCAGAAATTAAGTGACTTACCTTCTGATATTGATACAAAGTATGATGAAGGCAAAGTGCCTGATAGTAAAAAATGTGACTTAGTTAAAGGAATTTGCGCTAGCAAAAGGGTCCAATTAAACCAAGACGCAGTCAACAAACAAGCCCGCATCACTGCTATTCAAGCCGTTAAAGATTATTGAAATAACTTGGGAATGAGCGGAGCAGTGGAAACAGTTTGTGGTGATGATTGAAAAAAGGGTTTTGATAATTTAAAAGAAACCGCCATTAATGTTGAGGAAAATCGTCTCAAAAGTTTAATTAGTCAAGCCAAAGTCCAACCTGATATTACGGCTATTGAAGCGGAATTAAATAAAAATCCAGTTATTTCCGCTAGTGAATTGGAAAACTCAGACTATAAGGCAGAAATGATTAATTTAGTTACTGTTGATACCAAACGAGCCACTCGCAAGCAAGCAATAATTGCCGAAATTAGCCAAATTAGAGAGGGCAAACAAGAGAAAGTTCGCCAAATAATCACGCAGGCACAAAATATTCTCAATAAAGACGGAGCAACCAAAGAGGAAATAGAAACTGCTATTAATGACTTGAGAATTCTAATTAATGCTCCGGCGGATAGTGCCGAGCAAATAGTCTGAGCAGATAAGAAAACAGAAAACGAAAAGTTATTAACTAATTTGAAAGAGAAATTGCTTCCGGAGCCGGAAAAAGAGGAACCTCAAAAAGGTCCCGAAATTCCTAAGGAGGAAGAAGTGATGAAAGATACTGATGTTCCGTTACCTGTCTCCGACCGACCATTAACTCCGCAACAAGAGGCAGTTTTTGGTAAGGATTACTTAAAATTAAAACCAAAACAACAGGAGAAACGAAAAAAAGTAGTTGAGGGTTGAAAAAATAAAGAAAATAAAGAAAATAAAGAAAATAAAGAAAATAAAGAAAATAAAGAAAATCGTCGGGAAAGTGCTTGTTCGGCTTGCCAAAAGACCTTTGCTTGAGATGAAAATTTAACTTACTTACCTGCCCGGAAAAAAGTTGAAAAAGAATTGAAAGAACACCAAAAAGCTTGTTCGTTAAAAGCCGACCCCGAGAAAGTTAAAAAAGTGCTGCGGGAGAAGTGAGAAGAAGAATTAAAAAAATCAAATATTCATAATGCTTATTCTTGTCGGAGTTGTTGAGGAAAAATTTATTGAGACAAAAATATTACCAAGGCTGAAACTGCTGAAAAACAGGCGATTGCTGACTTGATGTATCACGAAAAGCATGAATGTAGTAATGAGTTAACTAAACCTAAAATTGCTATTTACTTTTCTCCTAACCAGGGTGGAAATGAACATGCTCCACTAAGTTATGCCGAAGGTGTTGACAAAAATGAACTAATGTTAGAAAAAGTTTATGATGAAGAAGTTTCCCAAGAACAAGTAAATCCAGTTGATAAATCCAGTGATTTAACTCCATGGCTAATTGGTGGTAGTGTCTTTTTGGTCGGCGGATTGCTATTAGCCTGATTAGTTAGCAAGAGAAAGAAAGTAAAAAAACAAAAGTAATATTTTTTTAGATAATCCTTATAAGTGGGAGGTTCCAACCAGCCTCCCACCAATATCAAAATTTAGTAAAAAGAGAACAAATTCAAAATTAACGAGAAAGTTTAATAAATTAACTCCAAACATCTTTGAAACAACTAAAACAAATACCGAAAAATTACCCTAATTAGAACAACAATTAGCCAAAGCAAAAGAAAACTATAAGAACAAATATGGTGAGTTGCCAAAGTTCTTTGAAAAGTGATGATAACATAGAGAAAGAGCAAATGAAAAGAATTATGGCTTGTGGATAAGATTGGGAATAATGGGAGTAATTATTATTGGAGCAATTGCTTATCCATGAAGAGGTAAGAAAAGAAAAACTAAATACAATTAATATATAGAAAACCAGTGCTGTTAATTTTATCAATATGTCTAATCAACAGCACAACACGAAAGGAAAAAAAGCAGAAATGTTAACCCTAAAAACAAGAAATTTCTCCCCCAAGGTTTACAACTTATGTTCCCAAATACCAAAGGGTCAAGTTTCAACTTATAAATATATTGCTGAATTTCTTCATATTTCGCCACGGGAAGTCGGTCAAATTCTAAAAATAAACCCTTTTTCATCAGCCGAAGTTCCCTGCCATCGCGTTATTGCTACTAATTTTTTCATTGGTGGGTATTATGGTGAATGAGGAGAAGGGGAAAAAGTTGCTGTCAAGCGAAAATTATTGTCCGAGGAGGAAGTATACTTTGATAAAAAAGGTTATTTATTGAGAAAATTGCGGAGTAAAGTTATTTTCAACGATTTTCATGAATAAAGAATTAGAAATTAAAATTATTGACTATTTAAAAAAGTTAGAAAAAAGCGAAATTTCTCCCAGGGTAAGTAGCAAAAAAAAAAGCCTTTTACTAGCTAGTAAAAATGAGTATGAAAAATTGGACCAAGGACAAAAAGATTATCAAGCATTATGCCAGGAGGTGAGCAAGGAAGAACAAGATTTTCTCCTAACGGAAATTAAAGATTTTGAAGAACAAAAAGAGAAATTAATTGACAAAATTAAGGAACAAATAATTGAAGAAGAAGGGACTAAGCAAAACATCGTCGTAGAAATTCGTCCCGGCACCGGAGGAACCGAAGCCGGATTATTTGCTCGTGATCTTTACCGGATGTATGCCAAGTTTGCTGAGAAAAAAGGATGAAAAGTCGAAATGGTTGAGAGCAAAGTCGATAATGAAGGAAACTTCACTTTTGTTTCTTTTTTGATGAAAGGAAAGGAAGTTTTTAACTGATTAAGAAATGAGGCAGGAGTTCATCGGGTCCAGCGGGTCCCTCAAACGGAAAATAAAGGAAGAATACATACTTCGACCGCTAGCGTGGTGGTTTTGCCCGAAGCCCAAGATATTGTTTTAAATATTCGTCCGCAAGATTTAAAAATTGAAACTTGCCGTTCCAGTGGAGCCGGTGGTCAACATGTTAATACTACTGATTCGGCGGTACGCGTTGTCCATCTGCCGACTGGGGTGGTTGCTACTTCCCAAGACGGACGAAGCCAGCATGCTAATCGGGAAAGAGCTTTAATGGTTCTGAAAAGTCGTTTATGAGAAAAATTACAGTCGGACAAGCAAAAAGAGACTGGAAACTTGCGCTCATCTATGATTGGCACCGCGGAACGCTCAGAAAAAATTCGCACTTATAATTATCCTCAAAATCGGGTTACTGACCATCGCACAGGAACAAGTTGAAATAAACTTAATTTCATTATGGAAGGAGATTTGGTAGAATTGTGCCAAAAACTTATTGATTATGAGGTGGAGAAAAAAATAACTGATAAACGCTAAAATATAACTTAATACAATAACATAAATGAATAGTACTCGAATAATTAAAGAAATCATTAACCAAAAATTAGAAAAAAAAGATAGAAATAACGATGATTACTTAATTCTCAAACTAAGCAATGAAGAAACTATTTTTGTTTTTTCTGGCAAAGTAGGTGAAGAAAGATGAAACTGATTAGCCGAAGGAAAAGAGTGTACTTTCACGGTTGAGGAAGGCAAGAATGGCAATAACATTTTAGTAGATTTTGAAATTGAAATAAACTCTTAATCTTTTTGGAATGCAATCAATTACTTATCGAAGGGAGAATAATTTGTAAAATAATCATATATGACTAACCTTGATAAAAATGAATTAGCCGAAGCCGGAGTTCAGTTTGGCAGCCCCGTTCGGTGACGCAATCCCCAAATGCGCCCTTATATTTACAAGGAAGCAGTAGTATCCATACTTGACTTACGGAAAATCACTACTAGTTGTCAGGAAGTCGGTAATTATATCAAGTTCTTGATTGAAAAAAAGAAAACAATTTTATTCCTTGCTACTAAAAGGTCAACTCGCGATATCGTTAAAGAGTCCGCCATTAGGTGTGGTATGCCTTATATTGTTAATAAATGAAAAGGAGGATTTTTAACTAATTTTTCCGAAATGAAGAAAAAATTAAAAGAGTTATACGGATTGAATAGTTTTTTAGCCAGAGACAGTTTCAAAGGTTTGGTAAAAAAGGAGCAAGTTAGTTTGGAAAAAAGAAGAAACAAATTACAAAGTATTTATGAAGGAGTGGTTAATTTGTATCATCAACCTGATGCCTTATTTATCATTGGCTTAAATAAAGAAAAAACTGCCTTTAAGGAAGCCAAAAAAATTGGGATACCGGTTATTGCAGTCTGTAATACTAATTGTAATCCCCGCTTGGTTGATTATGTTATTCCGGGCAATGATGAAAGTGCCAAATCTATTACTTTTTTCGCTAATTTAGTAGCGGATGCTATTATCGAGATTAAGAAAGGTGAAAAGTTAGAAAGTAGTATTGATAAAGGAAAAAGCGAAACAGAACGATAAAAAGTTAACCTTCTCTGTGTACAATTATCTAAATTGCATGTTATTGTTACAAAAATATTACTTAGTAATCAGCATAACGAGCCATCGCATCCTCGCTGCTTAATGCTGACGAAAAATTAGAAGCAGAAATTTTTGAACGAATTTCTTTTAAATAAACAAAGTTATAAATTAATTCTAAGGGAATACTTTCTTGTCAGGCCGGACTTTTGGCATTTTCTCCTGCTTCTTCCAAAGGAGCGTATTCATTTATTTCTTTGTTCCAGGGCAATTCGGCTTGGAAAGCAAACTTTTTATAATCATTTTCTCTTATTCGATAGTCAGAGAATTTTTGGAATTTAGGAAGATTCAGAAGTTGTAAGGAGGGACAAATAAATTTTTTAAAAGCGGTGTAAACAAGTGGGTCTTTAAACTCAAATTCTCATCTGATTATTGGTTCTAAGTGATGTTTGGTAGTGATGGGACAGCGAATTTTTCAACCTTTTTCTTTGTTTCAAATAGAATTGTCGCTCGTATCGCAAGTCTTTCAATAGTAGTTCTTTTTCGTATAGTTATGACTAGCAAAGCTCAAGCACATTTTAAGAATATCAGCCAATTGTCAACTTTCTTTGAATTGTCAAATAATCTTAGGCAAAGAACTCCAAATGTTTTTTTCAATTTGTTCAATATAACCATAATCATTATTAATAAATGTATACGAGTAACGCTTGGGCTTAAGGATTTTTTCACTTATATAAAATAAATCTATCCCGCTTCGCTTATCCTGATAACTGTCATAAACAACTCGAAAGAATTTATAAATCCTCATGCCCGATAATAATCCTACTTTCTCTGCTAACTCTTTGTTGGTCCGCATTTGAAAGGATTTGGCTAAATATTTAGTTAGGTAGGCGATTACTCCTTCAGTAGATCCAATTGATTTATTGCTAATTTTCAAACGAGATACTCGTTTGATATCGACTAAACCATACGGTCAGATATCATGAACAATGTAAGTGCGATGGTCCCAACAAGCCTGGGCACTGCCTTGATTCTTATGTTTCCCTAATCCACAAACCTCGTGATCATATTTGGGTGGTAAAAAATTGGTCGAGAGCATATGAATGTGCCAATTGCGGAGACAATCGTGTTTTGTTGGACAGCAGCAATGAGATTTATCATGGTCTTTTCAGGAACTTTTGCGATGCTTTTTACCTAGTCAATGACAAGAGATTTGACATTTGTGAAGTTCCGGAACCGCGACATACTTAAAACCATTCGGTCTTCAAATTTTCTGAATGTCATTGATGGCTTGATTAAAGAGGTCATTTACTCCTTCTAAATTTCTCCCTAACTTTTTTTTGGCAATTTTTTTCTCGGCCAAGAAGGAAGAAGTTAGTTGGGAAACTCGCCGGTAAAAATGTTTTCCGTTACAACCAGGAACCGGACATTTTCCTTTTTTTCGTCAGGGAGCGAAGGAGAAGGGCATTTTCTTCTGATAATTGTTGAAAGTAAAAGTAGAAAAATATAATCCTTGGTCAAGGTCCTCCGGAGTAAAATTCATGAGGAGTTTTTGTTGAAAATTTCGCAAAGAAGTATAAAAACTACTTTTTTGAGTCAAGTTAGTAGCCAATTGGTATAAATCTTTTTCCTTTTCTTCATCATGAAAGATAGGTTTTTGTTTCCTTTTAGTTCCTTTTCGATAAATGCCTAAGGGAACCTGACCAAAAGAGATTTTAGCTTTTTGAATTTTCTCGCCAAAATCCGTAATAGAAAAATTGATTAATTTGCCAGAACTAGCCAAGTTAGTGAATAAATTAGTAAGATTTTCCAGTTGCAAAATAGATTCATTAATTTTTATAATAAAATTTATTGCTGCAATAAAACCTTAGAAGAAGTTTGCAAAAGCTAATTCATTAGTAATTAAGAATATAAGTCTATTGATTGTTACTAAAAGCAAGAAACTTTTTGTCGAAGGCTATTTTGGATTTGTGTATTGGTGGTGCTGTGGTTGATTAGCGGAAGTTAAAGAAGTTAAAAGCATTAATATGACAAAAAAAATACTTTCCTTTTAAGGAAGAAATGAAAAGAGCAAGAAAAAAAATGGTTCATCCAGGTCATTGTCGAGCCAATATTTATTTATTACCTGATGCTATTGAGTCAGATAAAGCTAATTTTGTTGTCTTTGACTTTTGCAAGTGGCTTTTAGAAGTAGATTGTCGACTCAGAATAAGAGATCGGGAGGGAAAATAAAAATAATTTAATTTACAATCTTTCTAGATAATTAATTGCTGACTGAGCAGCAACGGCCCCTTCGGCCACAGCTGTCACAATCTGCTTAATTTTTTTTTCACTAATTCGAGCCACATCACCAGCGGCAAACAAACCAGGAACATTGGTTGAACAATCATCTTTAATAGAAATATAATTTTCTCGGTCGCAAATACCCAATTCATGGGCAAAACTGCTAAATGGCGAGAGGCCAATGCAAGGAAAGACGGCGTTAACTAATAATTCATTGTTTTTGTTGTTAGTTGAATTATTGACAATTACTTTTTTCACTGTTTCTCCTCCTTGAATTTCAGTTAAAATAGAGTTCAAGAGGAAAATTATATTTGGGGTTTTTTTGGCTTTGTCTACTATTTCTTTCTCGGCCCGAAATTCAGCGCGACGATGAATGAGGTAAACTTTGCTAGCAACGTTACTCATATAAAGCGCTGTTTCCAAAGCTGAATAGCCACCTCCTACCACCGCTACTTCTCTTCCTCGAAAAAGAAAGCCATCACAAATCGCACAATAGGAAACTCCTAAATTCATGAATTCCCTCTCACCCTTAATGCCCAACTCTTTCTCGACCGCTCCTGAAGCAATAATGACAGACCTACTATTAAAAGCATTTCCCATGCTAGTTCTTATAATAAACTCCTTTTCTTTCTTTTCTAATTTCAACACCTCTTCTTGTTGCCAATCAATCTCATAATATTTGGTGTGTTCGGTCATTTTCTCAGCCAACTCAGGTCCTTTAATTGAGGTAAAACCAGGGTAATTGTCAACATCAGCAGTTTTATTTAGTTTCCCGCCCGCTAAGGCTTTTTCCAAAATTAAACATTTCAGGAGGGCCCTTTTAGCGTAAATGGCAGCAGTTAATCCGGCTGGACCGGCTCCAATAATAACCAAGTCATAAGACATATATAAAAAAGTTTTACAAGTTATTTGCTAAAATTAATTATGGTTGCCAAGCGCTTATAGTTCAATAGGCGTGATAAAAATTAATCTAGTTATTCGTTCAGATTTTTGGTTGCTGAAACTATATTATAATTCTATTCTGATATGGGTTCTTATATGAGAAAAGAAAAAAAGACTAAAATATTATTATATATGACATGAACTACTCCAGCAGTCTCTAATCTTCTAAATAATATATTTTTTGGATAAGGGAGAGTTTATTGTCGTTTTTTACCAAATAATCTTGCTTTTTTTTAACTTAGTAGATTCGGGCTAATAACTGATTTACTGGGAAAAAATAGCAAAATAAAGTAAATAAAAATATGGTAAATGCCCAACAATGATTAGATCAAAATTATCCAATTAATGGAACTTGTCAAGAAGAAAATAGTTTAACCGGTAATAATAATTTCGGTAAAAGAAGAGCGGAAGTTAAAAGTTAAAAGTTAGTTACCAATACTTAGAAGGAAGTCTTGTTTTAAGTGATTTTGTGAATTTAGAAATATTAAATTGTTCTTACAATAACTTAGCTAGTTTAGATCTCAGTAATTGTAATAAACTTGCTGAATTAACTTGTGATAATGATCAGTATAGCATTCCCTTAGTAATTATCCCCACAATAAAAAAGGATATCATAGACAAGAAAAACAAAATAGAACAACAAAAAGCTAATTTAGAGTTTGATGATACAAAAAAAGAACTATTAGAAAAATTAATTATTTCTCAACGAGATTCTAGTAAAGCTCAAAAACTAAGATTGCCTTTCTATAAAATTGAAAAAGGGAAGTACAAAATTTATGATGAATTAGTAGATAAACTAGGTGAACTAGGTGAAGATGAAGAATTTATGAAAAAGATACAACTTATCTTAACTGACTGCGAAGAATTAGTAGCCCAAGAACTAGAACTTGAAAAATATAATCAGAAACAAGCAGAAATAGTAAACATCACTTTTCCGAAGAAAAAAAATATAAAAGTAACTAGTGTTGGGCTATCAGAAAAAGAATATGGTTGAATTTGTCATAATACAAATGAGCAACAAACTCAAGTAGAAGTCCCGCCCAAATAATATGCCCTATGAACCATTTAGCAAAAAAAAAAAAAAAAAAACAAGGAGGATGAGCAAAAGAAGTTAACAAATAGTTGAAATTTATTTTTAGGAGGTGGTGCTTTTAGCATATTTCTTGTGTTTATGGCAATTTATCAACATGGTGCTTGATGAATTTGTGTTGTTGTCACTTCTCTCAGTACTTTGATAGGAATTTGGCGTATTATTTCCGAAAGTGGCAAAGTTAAAAAAAATCTTGAAAGAGAAATAACAAGGATGAAAAGGAAGAAAAAGGAACTAAGAAATTCAATAAGATAAACTTCCTAATGATAAAAAAAGATGAAGAAATTAATAGTAAGGAGGAATTAGAAGCAGAATTATTGAAAGTTAGAAGCGAAATACAGTGAAGAGAAAGAGAAATAGAAGAAGCAACCAAAGATGCTCCTCGTTATTATTTCATTGCGTTTATGTCCTTATTGCTTCTTTTTCCAATTGTTTATTTATTTGAAGAAGTAATAGGTTTTGTTATCTGAATTATCGTTACAATTATTTTAGTGATAATTGTCGAAAATTCCTTTAAAAAAAGCAAAGAAGGAAAAAAACTCCAAAAAGCTACTTGAGAACTAGAAGAATTAAGAAAGAAAAAAATAGAACTGGAAAGGAAACTGGAATATTTAGCGAAAATTAAAGTTAAAAAAGAGTAGGATTAATTGACGAGTTTTTTCTTCATAAATCAGTAAGCCAGGGCAATTATTTTTCATAAATTTTTGTTTAGGTTTTTCCTATACAGGGCTAAAATAAGGGCTGAATTGTTTAATAATAAGGTTGATTAATGAACTTTTCCTGTTAATTATAGGTTTTTAAATGATGACAGTTATTTCTTGAAGTTTTTTCGGTCATAGTTAGTCGTGAAAATTAAGTAAAATGTAAAGTATCTCCTCAATCTCTATTATTACTTCTTCGGGTAATTCACCAATTTTTTCACCTACTCTCTTTTTGTCTACGGAACGAATTTGTTCAGGCAAGATTTTACCTTGCTTTCGGTTAAATTCAATTGGGACATGAAAACGGATATTCGGAATCGGAGTAGTAGTAAGTGGAATAATCACTACCCTTTTACCTAAAGAATTTTGCTGATTATTACTCATTACCACACAAGGGCGAGTTTTGTAAATTTCGGTTCCAATGGTTCGACCTAACCTAACTCAATAAAACTGAACGGGTACTTAATTACTTTAGACTTATTCATCTTCTTCTAAACTATCTCATAGTTGCATTTCCTTTTCGTAATTTTTATTCTTGGCTAGTTTTTGGTAGTCTTCTTTTAATTGCTGGTCAGTAATTTTAAGTTTAGTAGACTTTTCTTCTTGGTAAATTTGCTTCACTGAATTACTAGAAGTAATTTCGTAATTTATTCCTTTTTGTTCACAAACTCTTTTAATTTCTTGAATATTGTTTTTGACAATTAATTGCTTTTGATTTCTCATAATTACTTGGACTAATATATATTTTTCATCTAATGGCAACATAACTACAACTCTGAAATCGCAGCAAAAATTAGATAAGTTCTTAATGGATTTAGCCCAGGTTAA